TCAAGTGAATAATTGCTTTAAACCAATTGAGGATATTTTGTATTTGATTTCTTTTCGTCCTGTTGATGCTTGTGATTCATTTTTCTTGGAAAGAACATGGGCGGCAAAGGGTTTAAAGCACTGTTTTTTTTGACTTCAATCTTGTAGTACTATTTTTACTGACTTTTTTTTTTTTCTTACAGATATTAATAAGGGGTTTGGTTTAAGAAATCTCAGATGGGAACAAATAAGTTGAATACAATGATGCCAAAAATTGCAGAACTTACTGGTATCAACCTTGACAATGGTCGTAAGGTCTGCAACCATTCGCTACGTCGTACCGCGATTCAACAGCTTAAGGACTTGGATGTTCCTGAAGATGAACGTATGATGTTCTCTGGCCATCGTAGTAGAGAAGGAATCAGGGCCTATAATAGTCCAAACAATGACCAGAGGCTTAGGAATACATCATTATTAATCCCTCTGGATTTTGACGATATTCCTTATGAAGAGTTTACTTACTTTCCCGGGGACGCAAAAAACTATCTGGATTTTGAAGAGGAAGATTACGATGAAGGTGATTATATTTTATAAATTAGAATTTACATTATTATACATTATTAAAGTTTAATTAATGGCTTGTTTTTTTAGCACCTCCACAAAAAAAAAATTCACAACCATCGCATGAATCATCGCCACGACTTTTGCGTGAATCATCGATGGAAATATTGTATGAATCATCACCGGGAACATCATATGAATCATCACTGGGAACATTATATAAATCATCACGGGAACATCGCATGAATCATCGCCGGGAACATCTAATGAATCATCGCCGGGAACATCAAATGAAGCATCGCCGGGAACATCAAATAAATCATCGCCAAGAACATCATCGGTACCATCAAAAAGGCCGCCAATACGATCAAAGCATAATTCAAAAAAGGTTTATGCACCATTTAAGGCGCCTTATAAAGAACCACAAGATCTGGGTTCTGATGGTTCTCAAATATCAAAAAAAAAACAATCACGTATCCTTAGGCTTTCTTCTACAAAACCTCCGGCACAATTAAGACTAGCTTTAAATGATATTTCTAATCATTTTTCGCCTATGACTTACCAAGACATTAAAGATTTAAATGATAGTTATTCAAACCAAAAAGAAATTCACTATCATTTTCATTATCACTTTTAATGTGGTTTTTTTTTTTTTTTTAATATTTAAATGTTTTTTTTTTTTTTTATTTGAACAAACAATTATGTAAAATATTGAATTAACTAAATAAAAAATGCTTTTAATAACAGAAATTTTGGTACAAAAAAAATTAGTTTTCTAGCAAATTTTAAGACCAATTTTGAGAAGGTTGTCATATCGGTCTATATGAAAATCACATGATTTTCATATAGACCAATGAAAATAACCTTGACAAAAAAACACGAGTTGTTACATAGCACCCATGGAATAATTAGTTTTTCAGTAAGTGATAAACTTTAGGCTTGTCAACAAGTAGTAAATAAGAACTACTTCTAAATGATAAGTGCTATGCCTAGGGATGGACAAGTCCAGTTCAGTTCATCTGGTCCTAAAAAGACCAGTCTATTAATTTTTTCAGTCCAGCCTTGGTCCCAATAACAGTCCTTAATCATTTAATCTTATTGGCTAGCAGAGAAAATCAAATTATATGACATCGGTAATTGAAAATAAAAGATTATATAACATATTTTTTAATTAGTTATTTGAATTATTCATGAAGACCGGTCCAAACTGGTCTCAGGACCAAGGGCCAGTTAATCATAAGACTGGTTAAAAAGAACGGTCCTTATTTGGTCTTTTTTTGACTAATCCATCCCTAGTTATGCCTGCAGTAAGTGATAAACTCTAAAGCTATTAGCAAGATAGCATATAAGAACTAACTCTAAATAACAGCTGCTGGCTTAGGGTCCCTTTTCTTATGTCTTACATTCAAACCTTACAAGTTTTACACTAATGTACTGTATTTTTTCTTAATAAATTGTTTTTGAAAAATTGTAATCCAAATAATCATCAGAAAGAGTTGTAGTTTTGACTGAGTACATTGAAATATTGGTTTTTAGATTATTTTAAAAAAAAAGATTTAATTTAAATTTCTTAAAATTCATAAATTTTTCTATATGCGAAAACATTAATGATTGTCACAAATGCACTTTTGAACACACTTTACAGATCTACAATATAGTTTATTATATTCATGACTAAATTGGTAACAGTAAAGTGAGTTATGTTTATTTCACAACTAGAAATTACTAAATGAATTGGGACATTATGTGATCTATAATTAGCTTAAAGAAATTTTTAGATTTGGGTGAGAGGTGATTTTTAAGACCACAGAATCCACAGTCTGTCAGAAACTAGAAAATTAACTACAATAATTATCAGTATGTTGAGAGAGTTGGACAACAACTACAACTTTCTTCAGTATGTCAAGACAGTTGAAAAATATCAACCATAGATGCTCTCAGTACATCAAGAATCAACTGGAAAACAACATTTATGAAGTCATATGTGCAAGACAATTAACAAGCGAAGACCTTTCAATATGCCACTTAATGATAAATCTGGGTATGAAGTATTTAGTAGAGCAGATTTATTTACGTACTTAAAGGGTATATGGTTTATGAGGTATACTTTATTAGTTTCTAGGGCCCTCACGAACTTATTTATAATTAAAGATTCAGTATTACAGCAAATTCAATAAATGCAGAAAAATGGATTTATCAGATAAATCAGTTAAATCGGATAAAATGGATAAATTCGTTAAAATGGATAAATTAAACAAATGCAATATATTGCACTTTATCCCGTGATCATAGGCCACTGTAGGTGGTTCAGATTTCGGGGCTTACAATGGAATAATTATGATTGTTATTAATTTATATAAAGAAGAAATCGGTGATAAAAAGAATAAACACAAATCGTTCGAATATCATTAAAATTTGATAGTAGTTTAATTTTAAACTTTATAAAGATAACAGACTCTTAATATAACGGAGAGTAAGTAAAATTTCGATATAATGGATCAATATTCAAATCCACATCATAATAAACACTGCTTGATATAATGGATTTACTAATAACTCACAAGAAAGTGGATTTTAAAAAATTCCTGACTATGTGCCCGAGGTACTACGTTATATCGAGAGTGACATGTATAATTATTTTTGAAATTCAAATGTCTGATGCAATATTGATATTAGGGTAATTCATAATTAACTTATTTCAAAAATAAGTGGGGTCAAAATGTTCTATTTCTGTTTTAAAATTTCGATAAAAATGAAAATAGGAGCTATACGGAGACAAATAAGAATCTTATTATTATTATTTTTTTTTGATATTATTATTATATGATACTATTGTATTAAATTAATAAAGAAATACAAATTAACACTTGAATTTTTTTAAAAATTCTTAAATAATATTATGTTATTCTTTTATTAGTGTTTCTAAAATACTATTATGCCTTTAATATGTAATTGTCAAAATATAAGACATTTTAAAAAAATATATATGTAAGATA